TATATAGTGTGTGTGTGTGTGTATATATATATATATATATATATATATATACCTTACTATATATGGAAAATTGACTGCGTGTGTTGCTGAACTATATAGATATAGATATATATATATATGCCTTTTATATATAATATGTATGTATGTATATGTGTGTGTATCTGTATATGTATGTATGTATACATATATATATATGTGTGTGTGTGTATCTGTATGTATCTGTCTATAGCTATGCCTATGTCTATATATATGTGGGTGTGTGTATGGCTATGGATGTGAATTGTACACGTACATACATAAATATATGTATATAATCCTGCAACTTGGACCAACGCTCCAGACGGATATTAACTCCGCAAACAGCTCCATGAATAGGCTACCTACCACGGACGGCAAGCAACCCCGTTTGTTATATATACTAACCAATCAAATCTCTCCAAATCGCCCACTTACAGAGCCCTGGGATACTCCACTGGAAAGTCGTACACCCCTGATCTGAGTGTGGACAAAGCCTTCAGGCGAGCCATCCGTAAGCTGGTCCATGTGCGCAGATACAATGACCACACCATCACACACCCCATCTACGTCAAGTTCAAGAAGACTCGCCTGTATCTGCGCCCGTCCCGTGTCGGTATGTGGCTCGGCGAATGGATCTACACGATATGTTTCAATTTATATAGATAAACGTATTTATTTGTGTGTTATATGCATATACATATATGTATATATATATATATATGTGTGTGTGTCTGTGTCTGTGTCTGTCTGTCTGCCTGTGTTTGTTTGTCTGTTTGTGTGTGTGTGCATGTGTAAAATTGCATATCACTATATGCTCGTATCATCCTATACTGATACGCATCCACGATTTCTGTACACCTATGTGGCGTGCATAACCTCAAGCACTCGCCTCCTCTTGAGTGTGCAATCAGACAATGTCGAGTGCACACGAAGTATGTCTGTAGAGTGTTGTTACCGTAAACACTGCTGTGGACGGCGTCTTCCCCTACATACTCGTTTGACTTCTTGTTCTGCTGTGTATGGATGAGTGAGCTGTATTGTGAACTTCAGTTGTGTACATTCGTACACTTAGACTTGAGCTCTGGGCACAGCCCGTGTGCGAGCATTGACTATCTTGTGGTTGCTGAGTGCACCCACTCCATGCCACCTCTATACAGTTGTTGTAATCCACATTGTTGTTACATACTTGTTATATTTATATACTTGTTATATTTATATTAGTTATATACTCGATAAATTTATATATTAGTTATATACTTGTACTATTCATATATTTGTTACATACTTGTTATATTCATATATTTCTCCTCTAATTGTTCATATCCGCCTCGCAGGACACGGCACTGTGGCACACGAGATCGTCCAAGATCTGTGTGAGCTTGCGGGTGTGCACGACATTAGTTCTAACATCGTGGGAAGCACCATCCCCCTCAACATTGTCAAGGCCTTCTTCATCGCTATCTCTAAGCACAGGTACGTCCCTACAAACACTGGCTCACGTGCACTTGTTGGGGTCTCTGGGTGTAGAGTAGGGGTCTTAGGTTTACTTGTCTGTGAGTGTCTTAGCTTTGTTTGTGTGATATGTGTTGTCCAAGGCGCTTCGAAGAGATTTGTGTATACTGATACTGACGAGATTTGTGTATGCTGATACTGAGTATGGTGGTCAAATGCGCCGCTTGCAATAGGGCATCAAGGTATGTTGTCAATCAATCTTGCAAGTAAGTTTTATACAACTGGAGAGTAGATGCTAGAGTAGGTCTGGGCTCAGAAACCATCGTGTATGCTCATGACCCTCAGATACATACGCCGGTTCATAGTCACGCAGCCTCAGCTGCAAACGCGTGTTTGTGAGAGGTATTTGGTGTGTGCGAGAAACTGAGCGCCTTGGTGGGTAGGAACAAGCCAGTTGGGTCGCTGTGGGGTAGGGTTTTAGACAACCCTAGCCCTAAACCCTAGAAATCAGGGTGCATCCCCTGATTGGCTATCCTAATTGTTCCAGTAGGTAACCTAAACTTTCACTCGCCACACCCAATACAGAACTGTCGAGGACATCGCAAAGGGACGCGGACGGAATATTGTGGAGTTCAAGCGCAGTGTGGAAGTGCGGGGCTAGATTTGAGTCCCTGCGAGACTGTACATAGTAGTAGCACTCGAATAAAGCGGATATATATGTAGCATATAGCGTCAAAGATAGCTTGTACACGTATTTCATACACGTCAACACATGCGAATGTGTGTTTGGGATTGCAGACACGGCAATGTGTATATGTATGTGCTTATATGTAGCCGTTTGAGCGCGCTATGACTTTAAGTGATAAAGAATAAAGTAGTTCCATCTTACACTATGATAAATGGTCAAGAAGGCACATAGACTCATTAGAAAAAAAATGGAAAGTCCATTGTGTTAAATTCGCCGACAGCAGCAACAATTCTAGAGCTATTTTTACCTTAACTTTAATATTCAGACAGTCATAGAAATCCCGTCATACACGTACCCTTGTCAGCTATATCTCCGCCACTCAAACATCTGAAACGTTTCTATTTATGTTAATATGAATAGTAAAATGTGCCCCTCGATATATTTAGATAATTGAAATTAAGCTCTCAGTCCCCTGACTATTTATATTTAAACTGAATGAGATAAACTCACCAATATAGTCAGATTCCGAATTGAAGCTTCGCTATAAGCATTTTTTTAGCCTAGTAGGATTTTACCCCCAGTAATTTTTTTAGTCCCTTTTTGCTATTCTGTTGTATGCTTGACTAAAATTAAACTTTTCAGTCCCGTCGTCCTATTCATAATTAATACTTTTTACTGTCAAATTGCTGCAATTTTTACAAATGCGATTTATGTTTGTGTCATAATGTTCTCTGGAATGACTCATTTCTCGTCATTCCAGTTCACATGACTCCTCTGAACTTTATACACAGTAGGGTATATAAAGTGAAGAACAGAAGATCCTTCTGATCATCTGTTCTCCTCACGTCAATTGTGAGAGTAGACTTTACTACCCCTCCGGCAGATCACATCGTAATATGGCGGACCAAGAAATAAGCCAAGTTCTGCGACAACAGCAAGAGGTTATTACAGCCCTGCAGAATCAACTTGGTGTCCAGGGTAACCAACTGGAACTATTGGCGCAAGATCCGACGACCACAGCCCTACGGACGCAAATGAACGCTCTTCAGGCGTTCGCGAACACTGGCTATTTGGTACCTGACTATTCCCACCCAACTTTGTTGATGAACTATAGAACTGCCCACCCTATCAGCAACAATCGCGCATTTGCGCCGTGGTTCCAAACCAAGGTTGCACCCGAATCACCGGTGTCCATAGGTGAGCCCATCGAGCTCTTCTCCGCGCTTTTCTGTCAGAACGTCGATTTCCCAGGAGGTTTGCCTTCACGCCCCTGCATCAGCCAGTTCAGCGAGAACTCATCGATCACATCACACACTATAATTGGCTTCTTCGAGGCTTGAATCAGTCAGCGGTTGTTGCTCCGTCCCCGAAGAACAGCTGTCAGCACTCCAAGGTGTTGTCTATGAACTAGTTTCAGACATCATACACAGCTGCGAAGGCAAGTGGATCTGCATCAAGCAAGGTGCGGCGGTAGCTACTCTCGTCGAGAATAAGCACCGAGCAGCACATGGCATCACCGGTGACTACGCCGAAACTTTTAGAGCCGTGCTGCAGAAGAAGCAAAAATTTGACCTCATCAGAGGTGCTTCTCATCAAAATCGTCAATTTGACACTAGACGCGAACACGCTAATAAGCACGGACCTCCACAGAACGCACCTAACGCGGTACAGACCGATCGCTCTCGAGGAAGGGAAAGAGGCAGTGTAGGTGGACGCAACGGTGCCAATAAGAACAATGCGAATAAGGAAAGTTCCAATCCGTTCAAAGTATCTACCAATCCGTTCGAGAAATAGGTAACTGTTCAAAATTTTATATACGCATATATTTTACACAAGATATAACCATACATGCCTGGATGCGATACCTCAGTATCGACCAAGACAACGCTACTACCACCTCTATTTGCATCTGTGCGGAATAATCTCGCCGCCTGGAGGGGGGCTGGTGCCCCTAAGAAGGTCATACAATGGATCCGCTGTGGAGTTCCCATCCTGTGGGTGCCAGATGGTCCGCCCAAACCGAGCAGGCGGGAGCATTCACAAGGTCAGCGAAGAAATCGCCGTCGCAGAATATAACAGACAAGAGGAACTGGGTTATCTACGCCTTATCAGCGAAGATCAAGCCTTCTGCGTGCACGACAGTTTCACCCTCGCAAAATCACGGGATCGAGCACGCGTAATAGTCAGTCTAACACTTCTCAACAATCATTCACACACCCCGAAATTCAAGATGGAGAGGGACTAGAGTTACTGTGCACAACAGCTAGACCATCCGATCATATGGTGACCACGGATTTTCGGGATGGGTTCTTCGCCCTCCGCAACCGAGATCCGAAGTGGTGGCAAATACGGGGACCGCAAGGTCAGCTGTAGGAATATTTGGCCCTGCCGATGGGGGCAACTTTCAGTCCTTACTGTTTCAATTGCCTGATGGACGTCTTCCGGAAGTTGGTCCGAGACAAGGGGATCCGATTCCTTCTGTACGCGGACGATCTGATGTTATTGAGTTCAGCACAATTGATTCTCGAGCACCGGAACTTCATAAACGCAATGGTGCTCAAGTTAGGTTTACGACTGGCACTGGAGAAGGGTCACTTCTTCACTCCAGTACGGACAACCGACCACCTGGGAGTAAACGTAAATATCGAACTGGGACAATTTCGCCTGACGCAGGGGTTTGCACACAAACTAGCGGGACTGCGTCAGTAATCATACAGCGTCGGATTCTGAGCCAACAGCGATGGATTGGAGTCAAACAGTGGCAGAGATACCTAGGGCTCATGCAGTGGGCAACCTTCGTCGTACCCACAGCGCGCCCATTTCTTGCGGATTTACGGCGGCAAGCCAAGATAACGTCTCAGGCCCGTCAGAACAACCCGTGGCATACAAAAGTTCGACTATCGGGCTCAGGGTTTCGAAAATTGGAGAAATCAGTGTACGCACTAACACATCGTCAACCTCGAGAGATCTTCATTCAGATTCCCCACAACCACTCACTAACGACGGATGCGTCGAAACTGGGAGGGGGAGGCACACTGACCATTCACAGCCAAACGTGGACACATGCCTGGCGTTGGTCTCCAACAGAAGCAACTTGGCCGATCTCAGCACTGGAATTACGGGCCAAAATTCGCTGTCTACTTCTTTTTTCGAATCGACAGCAATTGAGTCTCCAGCAGCCTATCTTAGTGCTAGCAGACTCCACATCTGTATTGGCAGCGCTACGACGCCGCCAATCAGGCAGTTACCTCATGAACCAGGAGTTGTGGACGTTGACATCAACAATCCACCGTCTGCAAGCCGGATGGCCAGCAGCCATTGCCTATCTCCCAGGAGCACTCAACTCGGCAGCAGACCGACTGAGCCGATCAGAGAAATTGATACAATATAATTGGACACGCGATCCACAGGTGGTTCTCCAGCTGTATTCGGATTGGGCACCAACTATCAAACATCAGACGAAGGATCTATTTCCGGCCGCTTATTACCAGCAACTGGCCCACCACGGAGCTCTGGCACAAGTACATGCGTACCATCATCGCTGGAACAAAGAAGTGCACCTGCTCACACCCCCAGAACCATGGTGGCACACACACTACAGGAACTTCGAGCACAATCAGCATCCGCAATACTGATAGCGCCGTTATGGCTCAAAGCCCCGTGGTGGCCGGATCTTCGCAACATGGCGGTCAAACTCCAACTGTTGGCTCAGGGCGACGTCCACAACTCCTCCTTGGCAATTCGTGGCCGTTCTAATCGCCCCTTCAAGTTAGGTGCTTTCAATATATCTACTTGTCACGACTGGTTCACTGTATGCGGTATTACGGATGGCACAGCGAGGCAGTACACAACAGAGATTAATCGATTTCGTCGAATTGCACCCCTGATCGGTCTTTCACGGGACACACCCCCAGATACACGCGACGCTGCTATTCGATACCTCATATATCTCATGAATGACCTGAATATGAAACCGCCACAGACGCATATAGTCAGCGCCGCCATGCTAAAGTGGAGCAGCATACTCCGTTCACAGTCAACACACCCGAACGAGATGACCACGGCCATATGGGGCGAATTGAAGACCGTATATAAGTTATTTTTTATTCTTGACGGGCGCGCCACTATCCCAGATGAGCCAGCACTCATTTATGCCGGTTGGATATCGGCTGTCTACTCTTGTTCGGCGGTCTCGGTGCACTGGCGTGCTTTGATAGTGTTCTTCTTCCTGGTAGGACCAAGGATCTCATATATGAATAACTTCAGGCCGATTCATATCACATTTAACGAATCGGACACAACAATTTTTACAACACTCGTCGGTAAAAAACGACATAATCGCAGCACAAACACTTTTGCAACGCATGCGCGGCCAGTCCAGCCTCAAGTCTCTAAGTTCACTTGCAACAGGCCCTCCGGATTTTGGGACAACAGCACTTCCGTGGCAACCTAGTATCCACGGTGGACTCTGATGAGGTGGAGGACGTTACCACCACCACGGCGCAACGCATACATTTCTGGGCGGATCTGAAGTACCAGTTTGTGGCAGCAGGCATCCCACAGGAATTGATAACGCCACTAACCTCTCACTCCTTTCGGCGTGGTTTCGCCGCAAGTGCCTTGGCTATCACTATGCCCCAGCGAATTATCAGTGCTATCTAGGGATCAAACAGGGATCAGTGAAACCCTATGTCAGGGCAATAATTCCTACTCATCAAGACAGCTACTTCAATGGGCTGGAAGTGCAACAACATAAATGCTGCAATTTTTACAATTGCGATTTATGTTTGAGTCATCATGTTCTCTAGAATGACTCATTTCCCGTCATTCCAGTTCACATGACTCCTCTGAACTTTATACACAGTAGGGTATATAAAGTGAAGAACAGAAGATCCTTCTGATCATCTGTTCTCCTCACGTCCCACCCTACCACGCCCTTTTTCATCTGTCTCCCTCACAGGCAAGCATCAGCAGCGTCGTGACCAATTGATCTGAGTCGAAGGACTAGACCAAGCTCGTATTTGCATACGACTCTATGAATGTATATATTTATTCTATACTAACCTAAGAGCTATGTGCCTTACGTACAACTCGATAACCCTGGAAAGAAACAAATTCACTACCCAGTGCTGTAGTAATTTGTCAGATACACACGGTGTGATCCGTAGTCACATTGTCGTATCGTAAAGTCTAATAAAACATTAACAACAACATAAATGAGGGGGGGTTTTCCGTCTCAATGGTGTACCCCAGGCACGATATAATATCTGAAAGGGAAACATTCTAATTAGTGACATATAACAAGAAAACTGGTGTGAAATAGCAGCATTGTTGAACAGGAACATACCTCCTACACAGTGGGTCATCTAGGATTAACGTATAGGGTCCTGTGAGCTCCAGCGAGCTGGTTGGTTAGGCATTAATGTACATATAAATTTGCATCGACTAAAGGTACGTCATGGCCAAATCTTGATATTTAGTCATAAAACATAATTCCCCCCCCCCTTTGGCACTCTTTACCCCAACCATTGGACAAAGTGCGTATCACACGAAGCATAACGTACACGATTACATACACCAACACATATACATCACAGCGCGTAATACGTTTTGGCAGCCTATAGACATACTGATTTCTGAAAATTACAGTGAAGATACTCCGCATGTAAAGGAAAGTTCTTGCTTACTATCAGAGTTTTTCTTGTGCACGAATTGTGCTGCTGCAGTGGCACCAATTTCGTGGCTCAAACTACACAGTGCGTCCGATGTGTAGAATGTTGAGTGTCCTGTCTGGTTTTCGACGTGTTATTCTCTTTTGTTAATTGCATTTAATCGACGGGAAAATCGCGAAGACAATATGTACAATTCGGACTTTTTATGAACGGAACAACAAGGCATGGTTCAGCTGTATCGTTTGCATACGAGCTGGGCGCACTCAGTTTTTCATTTATAGTACAGGGCTTAACCCCCGAAGAGTATGCTGGTTACAATTGCAGTGCAATATCCAAAGATATAGGTGTATGATTCATCTGCCAGCCAGAAATGTTCGTTGCAGAACGTTCCAGAAGTCGCGAATACTTATCCTGGTCGTATGCGATCTAAAGTTTTGCTACACCTGGGCGCTATGGAAACATCAATCGGGAATAAAAGTTAATGTACAAAAAGAAACAATTTCATATGTTCACTGTTATTACTCGCTATTACGTGAATACGAGGTTGGTTGGTTCAGTCATTCACACAATTTGCTACAAAACCGAACAGGTCGCGAGTTCGAGTCTTGTGCCGTAAGAGTTTAGGACCTCGACAATTGGTCGAGGTGACGCCAGTTGATACCGAGTACTAGAGAGATACCATCCCACTTTTTGGCCTAAGCATAAAGGCTTTTCATTAGAATTCCGTTTGTTTTTCTTGTACGAAGAAAAACATCGCACGCGTAGTAACCGCACGAACACTCGAGCAAAATCATTCACAAATCGCCACATATAGGACAAATAAATACTTCAAAATTAAAATGAACATTTAGCACCCAAAGCCCACAACTACACTTCTCTCGCAATGATTTTTTTCCAGCGTCATTGTGACTACTACCTTATAGTCGCAAATCAAAAAGCGACAATATATCAGCTTCTGTGTAGCATAAATCCATCTTTACGAGTGAATTTTGGATATCTGCGCGGCATTTCAATAACTTTATATCTTCGACAGGAGCTGTTAGCGCCTAAATGATACAACTAGGAAGGAAATTGGACGATTTTCTGGTTTTTAAATTGTGGTGGCCACGTCCACTCTTTCATCGTAAAATTCGCGCTTCCAACGCGATTGCTTTTTCAGTTAGCTTTTACACTAATCAAGCACCCTCTTAGTATAATGTTGTATGTTTTAACATACACTGTTGAACCATCACGCACGACGATTTGACAACCTGCATCTACGCCATTTCGAAGCAGCCACTTATAAATCATATTGAATACAAAATAAAGCTGGTTCCGGCTATCTAAATAAGTCCCACTGAGCTTGAGAAATTACATAGGCCACAAAATAGATGGTTTTCATTGAATCAGTGCTCCTTGATTGACTGTCCTCAACCTTTTCGCCGTCTTCATCTTCTACATACAGTCGTATGCGTACTCCACCCGGGTCTATGCAGAGTTTATCATTCTTGATTACAGCTTATACAACCTATGCAGTCATAAATTAAATCGTTGAAACCTATTTTATTAAACCCACAGACCTGACTACTTTCACAAACAAAATCATATTTCGTAGAAACAATTATTTAAAGACTGTGAACACGAAAATATTCACACATTGTATTACTCGTGAAACATTTATCGCAGCATATCAACGCAAGAGCTTTACAAATCGATCCAGGCATCTTTACAGCTACTGTTTATCATATTCTCTACTAGTACTTCTGGTGGTCACCGGTTTGTTTTTGCGTGCATATGATTTCGTTTTTTATTTTTCAGCATAAGCTTTAGAAATATGTCGACCCGCACTGACATAATATACATAAATTTAGCAGGTATACCATTGGTATTGCAAACTCATCAACATATGCGAGTATGTCTATGCATAGTTGTAACAATTTTAATGCTCTTGTCTGTGTGTGTGTTAAGATATAATAATATATACAAAATCTGCTTGAATTTTGACTGTATGTGGATAAATTTGCAGATATGAATCGTAATTCTACTTTTAATAAATTTTACCGCGAATAATTTGACCCTTTCATTCGTTTCGCTCTTTTTTTGTTTTCGCACGTTCACACTTCCTCACACTCGCCAGGAATGTATAGAAACCTGCTTGCTATCAAAATTTTGTACATACCAGGTGTGCTGCTGCAGGCACTGAATTGTGTATTATGATGTGAAAGGGAAAGCACAATGTGTATGGTGAACACAAGTGTTCACCCAATGTTCATTGCACTACTGACGAAAATATGTATGAACAGAGCTCACTCCATCCGTTAATTCAAATACAAATCACTCAAATATGGTTCATTTGCATCGTTATTTTTTGGATCAGGAATTCAGACCGCAAAAGTTTGAGAAACCAATAGTACGTTGTGTAAAGCATCCTGTGTTGCTAGCCCATTCTGCACCTGTATTAAGCATTATGTCTTTTCTGACCACTATCTATAATTGCTTTTCCTGCTTTCGTTTATTTTTGCCAAACGCTCTGCCTCGGCTGCGTTTTGAATTGCTGTACTCTTTCTTAAGGCTCCTTGTTTAGTCACCTTCTGTCTGTGGTCCCTTGTCATTGCTAGCTTATGTTTTTATTGATAACTGTTGGTTAAACTTGAGCTAGCCAATGCTTGGAGATACTACTTGCAAGAAATGGTGATGGAATAACGTTTCAGAAGTCGCTCTCACGTTTACCCGGTCATACGCGATCCGGAGTTTCATTGTGCCCAACTCAGTATTAAAATATCGTCCGAGGCTCGAGTAGAGCAAAAAAGAAAGAAAGAGAAAGTATTCATGCTATTAAAAGTGCTTCACCGGGTATTAGTTGACTAAGGAGTTCTGGTTCTCAACTATTGTTCGAAAGGCCGTATGCCAAACGAGATTCCATCACCACCCCCACCCCCCCCTCCTTTTTTCTTTTCATATTCTATGGCTGTTTTTAAGTTTCTGTACGGGCAAAAATATCGCAATCGCCAAAACAATAGGGAAAATAATGTTTATTCCAATTTGGGTAAATTATTATGTATCTACATACATATCAGGTTTCATATTCGTTGGAGAGGTTCTGGTAACGTCACGATCAATCTTTTTGTAGTTCGGTTAGTTTATCGACTAACTGCCGTGCTACGTATCTGTTTCTGTTCACTCAGTTGGTTCGCCAGTTTTTGTATATGATGCCTCATTTATGATTTTATATCTCCCCACCTTGCGTACTGCCCCTGCATCTTCACACTAGTAGGACACCCTGTTTTCCATTCCGGCTTGGAACTACGGTTGGGACATCTGATAGAAGTGTAGGATTTATTGTAGGACGAAGGAGCTGTTCGAGCAAATGGGCCATAAATTAGGTCATGGAACTACCATGGGCCCTTTCAGTGACACCCAGCCCCTATGATGGGGCCTTTTGTACACTAGTAGTCAAAGGAACAAACATCTACCTTAGTTTACAGGTAGTAAAGTGTGTATAGTCTACTGTAACAAGCATAATTGTCAAGTATCAAATTTTCCCCGTGTGAAAATTTATTTAACGCAATCGTAAGTTTATTTTGATACGAACCAGCAGTTTTTTCTTCTTCTTTATATTTCATTCTTTTTTAAAATCGACCAAATCGGGCATTAAATACCGACATCCATGGATGCCAACTTGAGCGATTGCCACTGGAATAGTCAATTGATGAGAAATTAAAAGCCATTCTACTTCGTGTGAGGCTTGTAGTTCTTCAGTTTGTTCTGGTAAGCCGCGCAACTCGCTACGTACCATAACGATTCGACATACACGCCTAAAGACATCAGTGGCACATAATGCTACTTTTGAGCTGCATATATATATATATATATATATATATATATATATATTATTGTCTACTACTACGTAAGTAGTTAGTAGTATAGTAGTTAGT